CCACACATTCACAGTGCACTCTCAAATAGGGAATTATGGGCACACAAGGTTTCTGAGAGTTCGGCAGGTATCTCTGTACTTGCAGCATTGTGTGCCTTTACTGTAGACTCGGGCTTTAATCTATATGGAATACGTTTTTGAAATTGGCAAATCAATTGGGTACAGATATGCAAGGGCTTGTACTCGTGCTTGATATGTGCAGTCTGTACTACATGCTGATAGTAACCTGGCTTAAAAGCTTAAAGTATATGTGCAACTGTTTTCAGCTTACAAAGCCATCCACAACACTGCCCCTAGCTACATCGCCAACCTCATCCGCAGATACCACCCAAATTGCCTTACTCTGCTCCTCCCAAGATATCTTCCTCTCTAGCTCTCTCATTACCTCCTCCCACGCTCTCCTCCAGGACTTCTCCAGAGCCTCTCCCATCCTCTGGAACTCCCTACCACAGTATGTCCAATCGGCGCCCACTCTGTCTGCCTTTAGGCGATCTTTGAAAACTCACTTATTCAGGGAAGCCTACCCCACCTCCACTTAAGAACTGTACTTGAATCACCTCCACCAGATCATCATCCCCCCCCGCAGCTATCACCTTTTATATCACCTCCCCTTCCTTTAGATTGTGGAAGCTCCATGAGCAGGGCCCTCCTATTCCTTCTGTACTGTAATGTATTGTAATTGTACAGCCTCCCTTATATTGTAAAGCGCTGCGCAAACTGTTGGCGCTATATAAATCCTGTATAATAATAAAAGGTTGGCAATTGCAGACACCTATAAGTTCACCTGCAATACATTTTAACGGAGTTCACATTAAAGCTTCATTCACACTTGTACGACTTCAAAATCGTGAAAATTTTATTGCGACTTTACAGTGCGAGTTTGTGATTTTAGTTTTGACCAAGGATGATTGTGCTCTATAAAGTCGCACACAAGTTGCATGCATATCATTCAGGTGCAACTTTGTAGGGTTTACATTGAAGTCCATGACCCTCACGTCACATGAAAGTCAGACCAAAGTAGTGTGGGAACTAGTTTCAAGCCGCTGCAACTTTTAAGTCACACAGATATGAATGGTGCTTATTGAGAAACATGGGGTGCAACCTGCCATGCCATTTTCGACCCCATAGTCACATGACAAGTCACACAAGTGTGAATGGAGCATAAAGAGTAAGTTCACCTTTATGATAAAATTGGTTATGCACTCCAACATCTCTAGTGTAAACTGCTTTGGTTTGATTAGTTAATCTTTTTCAGTTTCATACCTGTGGCTATTGCATCCTCTCCAAAGCTGGTCAACAAAAGCTGCCAGTTAAGCAAATCCTGCCACCTGCACAGATATGGGGGCTCATTCAAATCTTGCATAGTGCAATCTCTCCCTCTGTAGTATAATGCTGAGCACAGCCGCTGCTACAAGAGGCAAAGAACACACTGCACATATATAGGGTTCAAACAAGCCTGGGTCCTCATACCTGGATGCTGACAGTGTATTTGCAACAATTAACTACTTGGGTGTTTTTTTGCAGAAGCTGCGGGCAAATTACAGGTTTGCAAATAAACTTCATTTTTCCAACCTAATAGGTGTTCTTGTGCTGGGCAACTTTATTATAAAGGGGAAATTTTCCCTTTAAATTCCCAGTCATGTGCAGATGAAATAAACAAGAATTTGCTTTTTACCTGAATGGCTACTTGAAGTGCATCTTTGCCTTGCATAAAGATTCTTGACTCCTTTTTAATAAAACAGCCTTGTTCATTATAACAGTGGTCTCCAAATTGCAGCCCAGGGGTTGGATGTGGTGGTTTGCTTGCTTTTATCTTGCCCTTGACGCGCTATTCCTCTGACACCAATGATAGGGCACTGTATCTCTCACTGACACCAGGTGACATTGTTACCAACACCAGGACAAATTCTACTCCTGCTAAGTCTGATGGATAGTAAACTGACACTTTGTTTAGACAGTTTGGACACCACTGCTTTAAAACCAGCAGACACAGTCAGGACTCCTGGTCTACAAAGCATGATTAGGTAAGTGACAAATTATTAAAACCCCAGGATCCGTATAACTCCCAGTACTTTAATCTTCAAAAGGAACCTTCAGTAATGAGTCCACATGTTTTAAGTACAGGTTTCCTGAAAACTATGCACTTTGTGGCTGTGATCTGATCAGGGAGGCTGATTGCTGTGAAATTGCCCCAAAAAAAAATCTGCATCTGTTAAAAAAAAGTTTTGAATCCCATTTGGGCTTAAATACCATAGGGGATTGTTGGACCACTGAAGGCCCAGGCTGCTGTTTCTGTTTGAAAGCAGCAGTCTGACTGTACACTTCTAGCACCTGTGTGTTTTAAAGTATTAGTCAACCCTAAGTGTTTTCAGATTAACACAATGAGCATAATAAAATATTCTCCAATAAATTTATCTGTATAAAATGTTTTGCTTGCAGTTGCAATTTACAGCTCAGTGCTGCTGAGCCCTGCTCTCAGTGATGTCTGAATGTCCAGTCTTTATAGAAAAAGGTTAGTAGGCAGTGCAGTCTCCAGTCAGTCTTCGTTCAGAGAAGGGAAGTGCCTTGCCATCCTACGCTACAAGCCTGTGTTTATTGATGCACACTGAAGGGAGACAAAGTTCTAGTCCCTGTATGCAACGGTGGCTCCATAGGATGCTGCAAGAAAAAAGAGCCACTCTGAAACCTGATTCAGAGGTCATGGCACCAGCTTAAACTGGAAAATAGGCACAGATTAAAAGATAAAGAAGCTGCATACTCAGTGATTGAATCGGCTACAAAACTGAGGGCATATTGTCACTTTAACCTTCTCTGTAGCACTAAGTATGTGTTCCTCTCAAAAAAGTGATCCACACGAGCACTTTTTTTTTTACCTCCCTCTGACTGCAAGTGTATACAGCTGAACTCCATTACTTTAATAGCTGCAGTTGGGCTCTAAACTCCAATTTCAAGTAACAAAAACATTCAGTCAGGTATTATAGCCTGCATGTTTGTAGTTTGACCACGCTGTCCAGTGTACTGTAACTGACCCGGTAAGACTGTGTTTTTGAGAATGTCTGTGAGCAGTGTGGCTGATACTCATTGATGCTAGCAGAGAGCACTAGCACTTTATGGTATTTCTAAGTAAAAGGGAGAACAAAAAAAGTCAAGTTTCACTCAGGATTTAAGATGAACATTATGGTTAAAAAGTAATGCAAAGTGAAATTACACTAGTAGATTCAGTTATTGGAATTTGCAGCATTGTGCCATGTGTTGCACAAAATAGATGGATGGACCGCAGCTACAGGCAAAGTATGGTACATCGCCCTGGCTCTACTAACACAGGGCAGAATGAAGATCCCGGTGAGCATGTGAATGCTATGTGATCAAAATGTTAGCAAAGCTGTTATGAACCGATCTGATTCATAACAGCTTTGTTTCTCTTCCTGGTGAGCTGTAATTGGCTCACAGCTCTCACATGATATATGGGGCCAATCACAGCACCCTGTATCATGTGACAAGCTCTAGCCAATCACAGATCACTAAACTGTCATGAACCGAACTCATCCATGACAGTTCAAAACAAGCTTCACATTGATCTTCATTGCATCATGCAGCGCAAAGTGCAAAAAAGGAAAATCCCTGAAACCCCCCCCCCACCACCAGAACCACTGCATTGTGCAGGCGCTCAGGCAAAGCGAAGTAACCTCCTTACGTCGCTTTCTATTTCAGGAATGTGAATGCGCGTACGCCTCCCGCAACATCCACCATTTTATTTTCTAGGGCCAATGCTTTAAAAAAAAAAAAAAGTTTAAGGGTTCAAAGTAATTTTCTAGCAAAAAAAGTTTTATGTAAACAACGGTGTCACAAAAGGCTCGTTCAAGTGGTTAGAAAAGTGGGTGATGTGTGTCAGAAGCTACTAATGTTGCCCCCCCCCCCCCCCCCCCCCCCATGATCTCTTTTTGGAAAGTAGACACTCCCAAGATATTTGCTAAGGGGCATGGTTAGTATTTTTCAGATCTCATTTGTTGCCACAAGGTTATGGAAAATGAAGAAAACAAAAATGTATTTTTTTTTTTCCAAGGCCCTGTAGCAAGAAAAGATAGCAAAATACTCACCGTGCCTTTTATCAAATTCTTTGGATTGTCTACTTTCCAAAAAGGGGTCATTTGGGCGGGGGGGGGGGGGGGGGGATGTTTGTACTATCCCGACTTTTGGGGCCTCCAAAACTGATAGGTAGTGAGGCAGTATGCCCTTTGAAAGCCTGAAAGTGGTCATTTGATTATGGGGGGCTGTATGTGGATAGGCTGCCAAAGTCTTTATGTGGTATACCAATACTTGAAGTAGCAGAATGTGTTTTGGGGTGTTATTCCACATATAGTCATGGCATACGTGCGTAATATATAAGTCACAACTTTGTGTAATTTTCCAAGGACCCAACATGCCTTTCAGCAAATTCCTTGGCGTGTCTACTTTCCAAAAAGGGGTCATTTGGGAGGTCTTTGTACTGCTCTGGCATTTTAGCACCTAAAGAAATGAGATGGCCAGTCAGAAAGGAAAAACCCCTCAAATTCCAATCTCTATTTCTCTCCCTCCCCCTTATAGCTTTCACACAAACCAATTAATATACATGTATTGGGATTTTACCAAAGATTTAGCAGACTATTAGATATTTTTTGTAACTGAAAGTAGAAAGTCGTGGGGGGTTTTTTTCCAAATTTTTTTTTTATTTTTTTTCGTTCATATCACAAAAAATAATCCAGTGGTGCTCAAATGCCACCAAAAGAAAGCTCTGTTTGAGTGAAAAAGACATAAATTTAATTTGGGTACAGCATTGCTTGACTGCACAATTACCAGTTGAAATAACACAGTGCCGGTTAGCAAAATTTGGGGGTAAGTAGTTAAACCGATTAAAAAAAACACAATAGGAAATGGTTCCTCTGTGGTTATCTATTTTTTAATGGTGCATATGAGGTTTTGTTTTATAAAGTTTTTAATCTTCCCTTTTGCTTTCTGTTTAGGAAGGTGTAAAGACTGAAAATGATCACATCAATCTTAAGGTGGCAGGGCAGGATGGATCGGTTGTCCAGTTTAAAATAAAGCGACACACTCCTCTCAGCAAGTTAATGAAAGCATACTGTGAGAGACAGGTATGTAATGGTGGACACTGTTTTGAAACTTTCTTACACATTGTCTCTTCAATGAAACAACTGGAAAACATAAATGTTTGGTTGTAGATTGCAGTGGTGTGGTATCTGCCGCAGTTGGTTATCTTGCAAGTTAAATAATTCTCAGTTGTCACTTGGTACATAAGTGCACTGATGTACCACTAGCCTGTACCACCATTCAGACCTTAAAGTCCAACTTCAGGATAAAAGTAGCCCCTCTCCATCCACCCCCTATCTGATCACTAGGTTAAGAAGAGCTAATTTTCACTTTTAAGTGGTCATCCAACACCAGCTTCTTCCTGGATTGGATCCATCCTCTGTATGTCTACATCACTGCTTACGTGGTGTGAACAATTCCCATTGGCCAGCCAATGGAGGGATCCTCTTAGGATCCAGAGGAGACCTGACCTCAGATTGATGGGAGTGAAGGGGACCAAATGGCAAAGCTCAGCAGGCAGAACTGGATTAGTGCGCTCTGCAGGGAGGGAACTGCATCAGCGAGGTACCTCCGGTGAGTTTAAAAACTGGCTTCGTCAGGTAAGGCAAACTTTATAACACAAATGCTCCTGCGCTTGGGGATGGACTCGATGCAGGCTACAACCACATTAAGAATGTCCTGGAACATGCACACCTTGCTGCCCTCAAATGGACCGGGGGAATCCAAATATACTGAATGAGGAAAGACAAAACAGAGGGCACACAGGCCTAGTGCATTACCATAAAAAATGTTTAATAAAAAATAAAGTAGGTGTTGTACTCACAAACGACAATATAGTCAAGGCACATCATAAAGAACAGCTGGGTCAACACTGCGCTGAGTAACAGTCCGCAATAGGGAGTTTAGACATCCAAAAGGCTGACGCGTTTCGAGGACTTGCCTCTTCCTCAGAGCCACTCTGAGGAAGAGGCAAGTCCTCGAAACGCGTCAGCCTTTTGGATGTCTAAACTCCCTATTGCGGACTGTTACTCAGCGCGGAGTTGACCCAGCTGTTCTTTATGATGTGCCTTGACTATATTGTCGTTTGTGAGTACAACACCTACTTTATTTTTTATTAAACATTTTTTATGGTAATGCACTAGGCCTGTGCGCCCTCTGTTTTGTCTTTCCTCATTCAAGGCAAACTTTATATTGTGTAGAGGAGGTGATTAATGGGAATAATTGATTTGTGATGTTGGGTTTAAAGAAAAATCCTGTCATCAGGGAAAGTATGCAGGTGACCGCTGCTATCGTTGCCTTCTAAAAAATTCTAGTTGCTTGGCAGTGTGAGTTGCTGATCTGGAGCATGTGAGGATTTTTTCCCCCCTGAGTTTAGTCTAAATCAGAATTATAGAAGCCAAGTATCCAGGCAACTAGTACAGGTGAAGCTCAAAAAATTTGAATATCGCGCAAAAGTTGATTTATTTCAGTAATGACACTTAAAAGGTGAAACTTATATATGATAGACTCATTACATGCAAAGCAAGATAGTTCAAGTTGTGATTTGTCATAATTGTGATGATTATGGCTTACAGCTCATGAAAACCCCATATCCACAATCTCAGAAAATTACAATATTGTGAAAAGGTGCAATATTCTAGGCTCAAAGTGTCCCACTCTAATCAGCTAATTTAGCCATATCACCTGCAAAGGGTTCCTGAGCCTTTTAAATGGTCTCTCAGTCTGGTTCAGTAGGAATCACAATCATGGGAAAGACTGCTGACCTGACAGTTGTGCAGAAAACCATCATTGACACCCTCCATAAGGAGGGAAAGCCTCGAAAGGTAATTGCAAAAGAAGTTGGATGTTCCCAAAGTGCTGTATCAAAGCACATTAATAGAATGTTATGTGGAAGGGAAAAGTGTGGAAGAAAAAGGTGCACAAGCAGCAGGGATGACCGCAGCCTGGAGAGGATTGTCAGGAAAAGGCCATTTAAAAGTGTTCCACTTTCACAAGGAGTGGACTGAGCATCGAGTCAGTGCATCAAGAGCCACCCCACACAGACGGATCCTGGACATGGGCTTCACATGTTGTATTCCTCTTGTCAAGCCGCTCCTGAGCAACAAACGTCAGAAGTGTCTTAGCTAGGCTAAAGAAAAACAGACCTGGTCTGTTGCTCAGTGGTCCAAAGTCCTCTTTTCTGATGAGAGCAACTTTTACATCTCATTTGGAAACCTAGGACCCAGAGTATGGAGGAAAGAATGGAGAGGCACACACTGCAAGATGCTTGAAGTCCAGTGTGAAGTTTCCACAGTCTGTGTTGATTTGGGGAGCCATGTCATCTGCTGGTGTTGGTCCACTGTGCTTCATTAAGTCCAGGGTCAACGCAGCCGTCTACCAGGAGATTTTGGAGCACTTCATGCTTCCTTCCACAGACGAGCTTTATGGGGATGCTGACTTCATTTTCCAGCAGGACTTGGCACCTGCCCACACTGCCAAAAGCACCAAAACCTGGTTCAATGACCATGGGATTACTATGCTTGATTGGCCAGCAAACTCGCCTGACCTGAATCCCATAGAGAATCTATGGGGCATTGCCAAGAGAAAGATGAAACATGAGACCGAACAATGCAGAAGAGCTGAAGGCCGCTATTGAAGCATCCTGGTCTTCCATAACACCTCAGCAGTGCCACAGGCTGATATCTTCCATGCCACGCCGCATTGAGGCAGTAATTGCTGCAAAAGGGGCCCAAACCAAGTACTGAGTACATATGCATGCTTATACTTTTCAGAGGTCCGATAATGTTCTATGGACAGTCCTTGTTTTATTGATTGCATGTAATATTCTAATTTTCTGAGATTGTGGATTTGGGGTTTTCATGAGCTGTAAGCCATAATCATCACAATTATGACAAACCACGGCTTGAACTATCTTGCTTTGCATGTAATGAGTCTATCTCATATATTAGTTTCACCTTTTAAGTTGCATTACTGAAATGAACTTTTGCACAATATTCTAATTTTTCGAGTTTCACCTGTTTAGCCAGCAGCTAGAATGCCACCCATATATATTTTTTTTTCTGGGGGGGGGGGGGGGTGGGGGAGGGGGGGTGCAGCAAAGGCAGCCCCATATATATTTTTTTTTTCTGGGGGGGGGGGTGAGTGAGTTTACTTCATATTTGAACTCCTTGGGATCAAAACTTTGTGGTTAACATGTTCTTCCTTAGTGTTATAGCTGATCTTTTCCTCCATGTCCATAGTCATGTGTCTTTACATCTCCCCCCACCCTCCCTTTATTGGTATAATGGTACCTGCCTATCTGATGGGTGACTGTAAAAAGAAAAATGGTTGCCAGGTTCCTACCTGTGTGTTTTTTGTTTATTTGGGGTTTTTTTCCCCCACCACATCTTCCCACCAGTCTGTCTGGAAAATTAAGGGTTGGCAGCACCCAGAAGTCATCCTTATTGTCGTTTTTATGTAATAATGAAAGCCTGCTTCCAGATTTGGTTTAACTTAATAGTTTAGACTAAGCTGGTCCAAACAAACAATTTTGTTTGCAAGTACATGTGCCCACTCGGAGTGCTGTATGAACTATATGTGTAGTATCTGCTACATACAGTGCTATTCCAGCAGCTGGATGGGGTATTCTGTATCGTTCCCAGAAAAATGGGTCAGGCTGATCACTGCTCTCATTCACAGGAAGCCTTGTATCTTAACACAAGACTTCCTCTGAATGGCTGAGGTGAAGATTGTGACGTTATCCACCTGCCTCTCCACCTCAGCTATTTAGAGGAATACTTGTATCCATCCATTAAATACAAGGTTTCCTGTGACTGACAGAGCAGCAATTGGTCTACATCAGTTTTGTTCTGGGAACAATACGGGAATTCCCCCATCCCGCTGCTGAAACAGCATTGTATACTGTATGTAGCTAATAAGGGGCATTCCAAAACTTAATGGAAAATCCAATTCATTAAAAAGAAAACTAGCATTTTAATGTTTATAGCAGGGTAAAGTTTAACTTGGAGGGACCATACTCTCATGAATTCCAGTGATGCAGCGTCTTGGGGCTCCCTGCCCTGCCAACATCTTTGGGATGCCGACTTCCTGGTCACGGTCGCCAGCCGCTGTCATTGGCTGGGATGACATTACTCCCGCGTGTGCATGTGAATTCAGTCAGATTCGGCATTGATGAATTTGTGCGGTCAACTGCATGTATGCTGCTCACTGTACAGGGGTTGGCAGGCAGGTAAGTAGTTTTAATGCAGAAGACAACCCTCTGGAGCAACATGAATCCTGTCAAAATTGAAGCAACAGGCGGCATCAAATTGTCAATTTGATTGAAAAAATGAAGACTTTCTTAGTTTAGGGAGAATGTTAACCCAAAAAAATCTGCAATTTTAAATTGAATAACCCGTTCAAAAAAGGCCAAAACTGATGGTGATTGAGCATGTATTGCCACTCTAGGCTCCACTAATTTGGTCACCCAGTGATTCAGTCCTGGTTGGGTGCAGCTCCTACAAGGCTAGTCTTGCCTGATACTCAGAATCATGCAGGAGAGAGATGGAAGCATGCACAGAGCCGCTCAATTTCTAATGTAAAAGAAGGCTTCAGCTCCATTGCCTCCCAAACCATGTCCTCTAAACTTTCACCTATCAGCTTAAATGTAAAGGTTGAGAAAGGGGTTCCCCACCCTGAAACATGTAGTAATATGTTGGAAAGAGGGTGTGGCAACACATCCACTTCATATGTCCCTGTGGTTTAGTATAACTCTAGTGCTGGAAATTCCATCCTGAGGCTTGAATAGAGTTTCCATTTGACTGGAACATCCTGATTCATGATCCACTGTTCCTCAATAGGCTGTTCATCTAGAGGGGATGGCTGCCACCTAGAAAATATTTGATTACTTCAAGCCTATATGATCATAACCCCCCTGAGCGCACTCCAACTATGTACATGAGAGCCTTGGCTCTCCCTCTCCTCGTTGGCTGAGACAGCAGCGAAAGCTGTTGGTTCCTGCTTCTGTCAATCACAACTAGTGAAGAGTGGGGTCAAGCTGAGCTCTGTATGTCTTATGGACATACAGTAAAAAATAGGACTATCTAGTTCAACTTGCCAGCCTACCCCAGTCTAATAATGGCTATTGTCGGCAAGGAACATGGATAAGTATAACTTATCAAAAGAGGGGAATAAGAAAGCCAGTTCAAACTGCCAGCCAGTTAGCCAACTATCAAAAACCAAATTAACCTGTCTAAGAACATGCGTTTAAAAACAGGGGTTTAGTTAGCACACATTTGCAAATACATACGTAAGCCACAGAGCTACATCACGGCACCCTGAGTATCTGTGGTCCTAACTATAAATCTTGAGAGTCCTCACAATGGAGCACATGCATTAAATGGATAGAAACAAGGGCTATCCATTGTTATGGACATACATGGCTGGCTCGGGAGCATGCATGCACTCTTGACTTTATCTTATTTCCTTACTTGAAACCATTTTTGAAAGGTAGCCATTTTGATCCCATCAATGAGAAACAGGCTGCTTAGACATGGTTAAGGAATCTGTAAACCCAACATTTCATATTCCTGATATGTGCCTGCTGTACTATGGCCTTGTATAAAAAAGTATCCTGGTTTTTTTTATTGCTTCCTTGGTGATCCTGCCAGTCCCTCTGTCCTATTAAAAACTGACCACACTAGGTATGAGAGCACAGTGTGTTCAGTTCTCTAGGTGTGCTGGGAACTCCTCCAGTGATCAGACTCCTGCTCACTTCCCCCCGCATAGCCATTTACTTGGTAGTTTAGTGAGCTGCTGTTTCTCCTCCCCCAGCTCTATTTTGCGTAAAGAGCTTGGAGGGTATGTAATTATAAAACGGGAAAATTATGGTTATTCCTAAAATTGCTCTCATGTAGTGAAATATTTCCAACCAAGTGCTGTCTTTGGGGAGGATTTTCCCGTACACAGATTAATGGCATATAGGAGCCGTTCTAAAGCAAATTAGTGCTGCGCTGAAATCCGGTCACATCTCTTGATGCAACCATTTGAGTGTATTTGCTGCACATGCAAGACTGGGTAGCAAACAAATTTGCACAGGTTTGAGACAGACTTGGCACTAAAGAGATGAGGCACAGTAATGAAGATGTCAGGAAGATTCGTATTCTGTTTCAGTGTTCCTTTAGGGTAGCAGAGGGGAGGTGTTAAGCTGAGTCCTTATAGTAAATATCTTTATGTACCCTTTCTAGTGTTGGAAGCTAATTCTGCTAATGGATAACTTGATGTCCATTCATACCTTCAGAAGTAGCATGCTAGTGTCGGGTTAACCCTGTTGCTGCCAGAGCAGTTTTTGCAATTTTCTTTTTTTTTTTTTTTGCACACGTTTAAACAAATTTTTTTTTTTTTTTTTTTTTACCCCATCACATAGGGGACACATTCACAGAAGACTAAATGGATGATGCGGCTGGTTGGATGTTTTTACAGATTGTGACAGCTAGCAAGGGGAGCTAACTGTCACAACGAAGGGGGGGTGCATTTATAACACGTTACATTCATATTCAGGGTGTAACATGCTACAAAAGGCGAACTTGCAGTGCCTTGAAAAAAGTATTTATACCACTTGAAATTTTCAACATTTTCTCATGTTACAACCAAAAACACAAATATATTTTATTGGGATTTTGTGATAGACCAACACAAAGTGCCACATAATTGTGAAGTGGAAGGAAAATGATAAATGGCTTTCAAAATTTTTTACAAATATCTGAAAAGTGTGGCGTGCACATATATTCAGCCCCCTTTACTCTGATACCCCTAACTAAAATCTAGTGGAACCCTATACCTTCAGAAGTCACCTAATTCGTAAATAGAGTTCACCTGTGTGTAATTTAATCTTAGTATAAATACAGCTGTTCTGTGAAGCCCTCAGAGGTTTGTTAGAGAACATTCGTAAACAGCATCATGAAGGCCAAGAAAAACACAACAGACAGGTCATGGATAAAGTTGTGGAGGAGTTTGAAACAGGGTTAGGTTATAAAAAAAAATTATCACAAGCTTTGAACATCTCACAGAGCACTGTTCAGTCCGAAAATGGAAAGGGTATGGCACAACTGCAAATCTACCAAGACCTGGCCTTCCACCTAAAACTGACAGGCCGGGCAAAGAGAGCATTAATCAGAGAAGCAACCAAGAGGCCCGTGGTAACTCTGGAGGAGCTGCAGAGATCCAAAGCACAGGTGGGAGAATCTGACCACAGGACCAGTCATGCACTCCACAAATCTGGCCTTTATGGAAGAGTGGCAAGAAGAAAGTCATAAGGAGTCCTGTTTGCGAAAAGCCGTGTGAGGGACACACAGCAAATGTGGAAGAAGGTGCTCTGGTCATATGAAACCACAATTGAACTTTTTGGCTTAAAACCAAAACGCTGTGTGGTGGAAAACACTGCATATCACCCTGAACATACCATCCCCACCATGAAACATGGTTGTGGCAGCATCATGTTCTGGGGATGCTTTTCTTCAGCAGTGACAGGAAAGCTGATCAGAGTTGATGGGAAGATGGATGGAGCAAAATACAGGGCAATCTTAAAAGAAAACCTGTTCGAGACTGCAAAAGACTTGACTGGGGCAGAGGTTCACCTTCCAGTAGGACAACGACCCTAAACATACAGCCAGAGCTAAAATGCAATGGTTTAGATCAGGGGTATCAAACTATGGCCCTCCAGCTGTTTAAGTGCTGCAAGGCCTCATGGGACTTGCAGTTCAACACCTGCAGGGCCATAGTTTGGAGACTCCTGGTTTACATCAAAGTATATTCATGTGTTAGAATGGCCCAAAGTGCAGACCTAAATCCAATTGGGAATCTTTGGAAAGACTTGAAAATTGCTGTTCACAGACACTCTCCATCCAATCTGACAGAGCTTGACTTATTTTGCCAAGAAGAATGGGCAAAAAAATGTAACTCTAGATGTGCAAAGCTTTTAGAGGCATCCCTAAAAAGACTTGCAGCTGTAATTGCAGTGAAAGGGGGTTCTACAAAGTATTGACTCAAGGGGGCTGAATACAAATGCATGCAAAACTTTTCAGATATTTTATTTTGTAAAACATTTTGAAAACCATTTATCATTTTCCTTTCACTTCACAATTATGTGCCACTTTGTGTTTGGTCTATCACATAAAATCCCAATAAAACATTTTTTTGGTTATAACATGACAAAATGTGGAAAATCTCAAGGGGAATGAATACTCTTTCAAGGCACTGTATCCTTTTTAATGGTGGTCTACATATTGGTCCCACTGCGTTGATCCATTATCGCACAGTAAAGTAATACAATTAAGAAATGTAGGTTCCACTTGAAATTTTCTTTACACTTTGTTTTCAGCTTTAGAGGGACAAAATTGTCTTTTCCACAACAGTGGTGTATGATAGACCTTCTAAAAAGGGCAAGGAGGTAAGGAGTAGACATGGTCACAGCAGAAAACATTGTTGCAGCAGAGGTCTTAACAATTAGTTGGGATGTAAATGTTCATTAGATCAATGATGAAAAGCACTTCAGGTTTGCAGATCAATGAGGAAAAGCACTTCATTTTTGTATAAGTGGCTTGTCATTGTATATGTGTCAGCACATTTTTGACTCAAGAAAACCTTAATTTATCTGCCAGCTTGTATGGACCTTCTGTCTGACTGCTCTACATTTGAGTTTGTATTGCTTATGCATGTAGTGCACCATGCTCTGATAGGTTATACAAGTTATAAACCGACACTAGTAATGTTTTGTCAGTGAATCGTAGCCACAAAGAACTGATACTGCCACTATCTATGAATATTAAACATTTTTTTTTTATTTCCTTTTAAGGGTTTGTCGATGAGACAGATACGGTTCAGGTTTGATGGTCAGCCTATAAATGAAACGGACACCCCTGCACAGGTATGATTTAAACTTTCTTACTACTGTCCCACATTAAAAAAAATTTTAATATAGAAATCTGATGTATATTTTGCATTTTAACCTGCAGCTCGAGATGGAAGATGAAGATACTATTGATGTATTTCAACAACAGACAGGTGGTGTTTGCTAAGCTCCTTCACCAGAATGGATGAAGCCCAACGAGCCTTCGTGCACCATACTTCCCACTTCTTTCCTTCAAAACAATGAACATGCTGATCACACAACATTTCTGAAAACGTTAGCGGACTATCCAGAAAATGTTTTGATTTATCTGTTTTCCTTTTTTGCCCTACTTGCAAGCGTTGGAAGTTTTGTTGTTAAGAGGGCCAATATCAAGAATCATTATTTCCTGCATATAAAGTGGTTATGTTTTTCTTGTATTTTATTATGTTTTGTGTGGCACTGTTCATTTTTACAGCAGTTTTTTTTTTTTTTTCTTCTCTTCCATTTGTAAATATTTTGGACTTTTTTCCTATCTACAGTAAAATTGACCTCTTCTATGCCAGAGCACTCTAATTCTCGTAGAAATGGTTAGCCTTGTCTCCCAAACTACAAAGTTGTTAATGTATCTAATATATCTTATTGTAGGAGGATGGTTGTGCTTTATTGCCAATAAAGTAAACATTTTGGGTTGGTTGAGGGTCATATTGCTTAGGCTGTGTGAAAGACTGCAGGTTGACGTAAATATTAGGTGGGTGCACACAACCTGCTCTCATGTTAGCAATTGGTTGAATTCAGACCACTGCCATTTGGTATAAAAGATATTATTTGGTACTTTTCCATTCTTGTCACCTTTTTAAATGCCCTGCTAAGGGAACCTGTCAAACTAAACTTTAGGATTTGCCATTGCTGAATTATTCTAACAGTGCAAGTTTTAGGCCTCTCATTAAGGCTCACTACTTAATGATTCACTGACTTGGAACTTGTAGGTGAGTTCAAAAGGACTAACATGCATTGTCAGTGATTCATACAGTATTGAAACAGAAGAGGATGGTTCTGGAGCCTATGCTTTCAAAGACATATTGGCAGCTTTCCTTCCATCCTTTGCAACAGGCTAGTTGTGTGTTCAAACTAATCAGGCCTTTGTTGAACATTTTGCTGTAAAAAAAAAAAAAAAAGTGTGCTAGTAAAGTTAATTAGTTCCATATTACACGTGATGTAAAGTACTAGAATGGGGCTTTCTCTGTGACCCCTTTAGGGTCATCCCACTTTTAAAATCCCACTTTTAAAATCTTATTCTGGTGTCCTTAATTTGATTGAATGCGGATTTCTGCTGGCTAAAATGCCGTTCAAAAACAAACTGCTTCATATTGGCATTTAAATGTTCATATTTTTTTTGTACTTCAATTCTGGTATTCCAGTACCAAAAATAAAATGCCATTTTGAGTAATTAAAACTCTCCTTCACCAATAGGAATATTGTTTGTATTGCTCATTAGTCTCTAGAGTGTGGCCTCTGGTTTCTTTTAATCCTTGTATCTGCTGGATAAATGTATTATTTCAATTACAAAATAAAGAAACATCAAAAATATTTGACATTGTTCCATGCCTATGTATTAAGACCTAATCAAATGATGCTTTTATTATGTTTGTATGTTAATCTCTGCAAAGTATCTTATATGGTGTGCATCTTATAGATGGGTTTCTGGCTGCTTCAGAAAGTAAGAGTCCTATTTGTTTTCTCGTAACACAGCCCCTCCCCTCACCCCTCAATTAACGTCCCAGGCATAATGCATGTTGAACACGATAAAAACATTAAATACATATTAAATAGGGTGGATTTGATTTAAATCCGTAGTGAAGAGGCTTGATTTAAATCCTTTTTAAAGATCTGTCTCGCAGCAGCTCCTCCTCTGACCCGCTATTGACTCAGTCCCATTCACTTTAATCGGGTGGCTGGTAATGTGGCAGTGACACAAGGTGAGGGATGTGGCAGCAGCTGGTGAGTGGATGCCCACTAACAGGCACTGCCATGATGGATCTAAAATGACAGGTTCTCTTTAAATGTAAGGAATCCAACTCATTCTTGCTGGTAGTTAGAATCTTTGATATTTGCAAACCAAATTTAAGGTTTTTCTTTTTAGAATAATAAGCTATCAGGTTTGTAAAACAGTGATATCAGAACCGATTATAGGTTAATCACACATAGCTGAACTTCTCAAATTCTTATATTTCATGTTTTTTCTCATGGTTACTGTGAAATTGTGTGAATGCATCAATGCAGTGCATGTTATCTCAGCTTGCAGAGCTTGGATTCATTAGTTTACCAAAAATGTAATTCTTGCAGAATATACAGCCTTGTGCTATATAACTAAGCTCCATTTCATGCTGAATAAACTAAATTATTGTATCTTAAATAGAAAACTATCTTTAGATAGATTTTTACTCCAAAAGCATTTTATTAAGATAAATTTGATTAAAAATTTTTTTTTTAATTTTAAATTGGATTTTTTTATTTTTAATCTATTTTTATCCACCCTGTTAAATAAGCACAATGTATCCTTTTCTTTTTCACTTTCTTTTCACATTTGGCTAATGGCAATTGTAGATTTTCTTTAATATCCACATTTCTTAGAGACCGCTTAGGCTTTTATTAAGGTGCATGTGTTCTGGGTACTGAAATTCCTCTTGCACAGGAAAATATTTAAGTTCAGATAGGCAGGTTATACTCCTGTTACAGGATGCATCAGTCCACAGCACTTGGTGTGTATCCTGCCTGTTCTGTCCTTCCTCTATATGAATGAATCGCTTCTCAGTTTTTCCAGACATCAGGCAATCCTTGAAGACTCCACCTGTCCCCTGCGACACTGGTGATTATTCCACATGTGCATGTTTCCCAGTGAGACTGGAAGAGGGGGGGTCCTTTCTATCCACTCAAGTTGCAGATTACACTCTGCTTTATGCTGTGCAGTGTGTGACAATTGGATCCCTGCCTCCTGGAAGCTGAGAAATCTAAACTGTATTTTGGTAGGGTACAATTTAGAAAGGATTACATTCATCATTCTGTATGACCTCAGGCTAGTCACTTCAGTGGTGTTATGTGCAAGGGTTTATTACTTTTAGGAGCAAAAAAAAAGGCACAACCCTAGTGTTCCTCAATTGACTTTGCAGAAGGTACAACCCCCCCCCCCCCCCCCTTTTTTTTTTTTTTTTTTTTTTTTTTTCTTGAGTGACAGGTATTCCGAAAAAGATAGGGTGTCCAAATGTATTGAACAGCTGGACAACCCAACAAAAACACAATCCTTTAAAGAGGAGGGAGGCTGCCTGAAGGATACAACTGAATCTTAATGGATGAGATGGGAACTTGTCAACACAAGCAAGGGGAGAGCATGAAAAATCAACCTGATGCTCCAGACCAGGATGAAGTTTCAGAAGGAAATACTCCACATGGAGGGAAATGCTGAACCTGAGCCAGATAAGAGCTGGTCAACCAGGACACAAAGACAAGTTCTTAAACTGGGAATAAAATACTTACAAACCAAAGTGTTTAAAAAACATTGGGGAAAACTGGAAGAACAGGAACCACAAGGCGAGGCTGATGCAAAAAGACAGGTCATCAAGGTAAGGATACTAACAAGTCTGCATGGGAAGTCCCAAGAATGATTGCGACCCAATAACCTAAAAAGCCATAGTGACTCCTGAGACCACTAAACTCAGGAGTTTGATTGCACACAGCCAGCATTACAAATAGGATGCCAAGGAAAAATACAGGTGAAACTTGAAAAATTAGAATATTGTGCAAAAGTTCATTTATTTCAGTAATGCAACTTAAAAGGTGAAACTAATATATGAGAGACTCATTACATGCAATGCAAGATAGTTCAAGCCGTGATTTGTCATAATTGTGATGTTTGTGGATTTGGGGTTTACATGAGCTGTAAACCATAAACATCACAATTATGACAAATCACGGCTTGAACTATCTTGCATTGCATGTAATGAGTCTCTCATATATTAGTTTCACCTTTTAAGTTGCATTACTGAAATAAATGAACTTTTGCACAATATTCTAATTTTCTGAGATTGTGGATTTGGGGTTTACATGAGCTGTAAACCATAATCTCAGAAAATTAGAATATTACATGCAATCAATAGAACAATATCGAACCTCTGAAAAGTATAAGCATGCATATGTACTCAGTACTTGGTTTGGGCTCCTTTTGAAGCAATTACTGCCTCAATGCGGCGTGGCATGGAAGCTATCAGCCTGTGACACGGCTGAGGTGTTATGGAAGACCAGGATGCTTCAATAGCGGCCTTCAGCTCTTCTGCGTTGTTCAGTCTCATGTCTCTCATCTTTTCTTGGCAATGCCCCATAGATTTTCTAAGGGGTTCGGGTCAGGAGAGTTTGCTGGTCAATCAAGCACAGTAATCCCACGGTCATTGAACCAGGTTTTGGTGCTTTTGGCAGTGTGGGCAGGTGCCAAGTCCTGCTGGAAAATGAAGTCTGCATCCCCATAAAGCTCGTCTGCGGAAGGAAGCTTGAAGTGCTCCACAATCTCCTGGTAGACGGCTGCGTTGACCCTGGACTTAATGAAGCACAGTGGACCAACACCAGCAGATGACATGGCTCCCAAATCAACACACTGGAAACTTCACACTGGACTTCAAGCATCTTGCAGTATGTGCCTCTCCATTCTTCCTCCATACTGTGTCCTTGGTTTCCAAATGAGATGCAAAAGTTGCTCTCATCAGAAAAGAGGACTTTGGACCACTGAGCAACAGACCAGGTCTGTTTTTCTTTAGCCCAGGTAAAACGCTTCTGACGTTTGTTGTTCATGAACGGCTTAAGAGGAATAAGACATTTGAAGCCTATGTCCAAGATCCATCTGTGTGTGGTGGCTCTTGATGCACTGACTCCAGCCTCAGTCCACTCCTTGTGAAAGTCCCCAACACTTTTGAATGGCCTTTTCCTGACAATCCTCTCCAGGCTGTGGTCATCCCTGCTGCTGGTGCACCTTTTTCTTCCACACTTTTCCCTTCCACATAACTTTCTATTAACCCCCCTGGCGATATTCCCGAGTGTAGCTCGGGGTAAAGTTTCAGTACCAAAAGCAGTAACCCCGAGCTACACTCGGGCTTACCATGTGGCGCTGCTCCGAGATCTGTTCTTCAGTTACCTTGTCCTATG